TAAATAACAAATAACAAAAGGAAGGAAAGAAAGAAAATTAAAGAAGTGAAATGGTGGAAAGAAAATGACAATGAAAAAACTAAAAGAAAGGTAAGTATCAAAAATGAAATAAGAAAAAGGATGAAACCATATTAAAAAGAAAATAGATATTAAAGGGATAGTAAAGAAAAAAGGTGCAAGGTAAAAAATTCAACCTAACTGGAAGGAAAGGGAAAGTATTTCATGGAAAGTTTCAATTGTTAGGAATATTTCTAAGAAAATTACAAATTTCTGTTATTAACAGATATACACAATATAAAAAAGAAAAACATGAGCAGTAATAATTTGCTAGCTATTACTGTCTAGTCAATGGACTGCCAAAATCTGCAGTTACTTAAGTGGATTGATATATTGATTATAAAATTATTAATTATTATTACTGAAACATTATTTATACTTTCTGTATACTTTCTTTAAATTTTTCAGTATTTTTCTTCATTTGTGCAGGAAATTTCCGAGAAAATAGGTCCGCAGAATCGCATTAACACCGCGAATGCCTATACATTGGTTATAATAGCCACCGGCTGACTTTACTGCAACATTTGAATGGAAATTGGCAGACTTGTTTTTAATATGCGTGGATGAAATTTTTTCTTTATGAGATAACTCTAAATCAATTTACACATAATTTCAACCTAAACAGAGTTACAGAGTTTTCATCAACATTTCGGGAGTCCTGAGATTCCAGCTCCCCACTTTTAAGCCCGAAAAATTGGCATCACACAGTCGGCCGGCGACACTTCTTATTTAGGTTATAATGTAGCCTAGAACATTAGGCCTGGGCCTGTACAACTTCAGCAAAGTATCTTATACCTACATATATAACGATCTATAGTTTCATTTTCTTGTTCAATGGTTGTTTTTATTGAGAATTAATCACCAGAGAACATCGTCACACTTCTAGTGTTTACAAAGGTTTCGCGGAGTAACATATCCCAAACATTGCAAGTTGCCCCGAATGATGTAATATCCCAGCATTCTGATTGGTCTACAACTTGCAATGGACTCAAAATACTTTACTCGCCAGCCGGTGTAGTCGGGCGCACACGTGGTTTGGGATGTTACTCCGCAAGATATAGTTTCGTAATTGGAAGGCCTGCTACCAGTTAGTTCGATGTTGTTTTGTTGTTACGTTTTTTGTTGTTGTCAAAACAAGAAACATTCCTTGTAGAATTATATATTTTTTATATATCTTATAGATTGTTTTTGTTGCACTTTATTAATTTCACGTTTAAAATTTAATCATTAAATATTCATTTATATACAATTCAATTTTTATATTATTTCAAAAAAACATGATTAAACAATCATTTTGCTTACTTTCTGCTGATTCTTTGTTAAGAACGAAATAAATTGTTTGATAGAGGCCCATTACTAGTTGCCTATGAAATAACTCTGCTTACCGTCTACAACATTCAGTGAGAAACGTTCCCAATTCCAGGTTCCTCCTGGTAGACAGATACCGAGGTTGCCAGACACAAAGTCATTTGACTCTTTGTACGCCGCCGATACGAACAAAAGTAGGTCAGAAGCCGACTGGCTCGTTCAGTAAATAAATGGTAGTAAAGGATTTGCTTTCTATATTATTTCATTTAATTAGGTTTCAAAATTTGCTGCGAGACCTATTTGTTTGTTTTTTTGTAAATTTCAAGATGTTGCTCATTGAGATGCATGTTGTTAAACTACAGCTGCTCCGTGAAGTCTGGCTGAGGTTATCATCAAAGAGTATTTTATTTATACCCTTTGTTATCATCAGCCATGTGATTGAAGAAGCGTAATCTTATTTCATAATGTATGAGGTTTAGGTAATTCGTTTGGTTTTCAATAAAAGATGTCTGCCTTTAAAATACCGGTAGTACTTTGAATATAATCATCCAGATGATGCCTAATTGTATTTATTTACGATCTATTTAGAGTTAAATTTTGATTATTGCTTGATCTGGGCCGTTTACATCGTATGAGTCAATACTGTATACGATCGTTTGAAATTTCGGTACATAGTCTATTTTATGAACAAATACGTTAAGGAAACGTTCACAATTACGAGGAGGTACAGGTGAGAGTAGCACTCAAAAAAATAGTAAAAAATCGTGCAATCCGATGTTTCTATACCAGTCTCCTTCGCTTTGACGGTGATCGCTTATTTACCAAGAATAAGATGAGCGCACATCGACACGGTTTTAGTGTACGACATCACACTTTAATAGTCTAGGTCATGCTGATTGGTTGATACAGTACATGTAAAATGAATGATAACATGTTTTGCATACTGCCTGACTGAAAATAATGGGCTGTACAAGTTGTAAATAATTGGGATTTGGAGGGAAACCACCTTCCTGCCGCTTACAAAATCTACTCGCGCTATCAAATTGAAAGTTGAATTCCTTGTCGCACCTTAAAAAATCAGGTCGCGAAAGCGACCAAATGACCTTTAATTTCAAGCCCGGCACAGATAGGAGTCTGAGGGTACAAAATGCAGCTTTTTACCATAATGATCGATAGAAACCTACAGCATGTAGTGACTACCCCTTGCAATGACCCCGGATTCCCTGGGTTAGCTCATCTGCGCAGAATGGCGCGTCTAACTGGACTGCACATTGCACAGCCAATCCTGGAGGCCCTTGGAGAAAGGACGGCAATCTAAGTTAAGAGCTTAAGCAACACAGACATTGTTCTATAGCCCAAGCAGAAAATTAATAGCGATACTGGTAAAGTACCAACTTTTGGCTATTTTACAATACCTACTTAAACATAAAATACCTTGCTCTAAAATCAGACTTTTAACTGTTGGTTAATCTAAAAAAATGAACAACGATACGATTGTGGTCAATGTGAGCATGAAAATATCATTTAGTCAATTCCACTGCAACAGACCGGACATTTGAACTTTTTAACATTAAAACAAGTCGTCTGGCTTTTTTAAGAGGCTAGAACCGACTGTATACTCCCAAATACAGTATCTCCCAACTACCAACATAAATTTCCAAAGTTTACATCTGAGATTGGCTGGTATTTTAATTAATTTTAAACAATGGGTGTGACAGACTGGGCAAAAAACAAAGACAACATATTTAGCTAACTTTTTCAAATGCACATCTCAGTAATAACTGGATTTTTATCCTGTCACACTGTGATTATTGGTTTATAATTATATTTATTCCAAAAAGAAAATTATTCATCATGTCCCCATGTCATGTAGTGACAAACAGGACCTCATCTTACAAAAACATACTGCACAAGTCTTATCCCTTTAAAAATTAAACAGACACATTGCCATATGCAATGTAGGTTCAGGACAGCATTAGTGGGGAGGGGACTCTGTGCCAGGACCCTGTCAGAGTGGCTGCCCCACCCCCTTTCAAGTGTCAACATAATTTATCAGGGTGAAAAAAAATTGTACATACTCTTACAAATTATCATTACTGTACAGATTATTGAGGACTTTTGCCCTACAACTACACTCCTTTTAAGGGTTTAACATAGGCCCGACCCCTCTTACCCTGACAGGGAGTTCAACCATTTTTATTGGGGACATCATCCTCCCCATTGGGCAAAATCCCAGCTTTTGTAATCAACTGTACAGTACATACAACCTACTTGCTTCCAATCTTACTCATATGGACTTGCAGTAATTTTGTCATTATTTAAATGAAAAACAAACAAATGGATTTTAATGCAGCAAATGTAAGATCGTGACTGACAGGACAAAAGTGCAAAACATGACAGACGGACAAAGTTTATGATTGATTATTTCAATATAGAAAGCTTTTTCCTTTCATTCAATGACCGTGACAAAAAGTTTTCAAAAAGCGTGACAGACAGGACGCAAATACTTCAATGACCTCAAATTAAAGTCAAATCTTGGGTCACAATACTTTTATTGGTTTTTTTAACCAAATCCCATTTGATCTTCCTACTACATAAACTCTAATTAGCCTAGGCCTACATTCCAATAAGAAATTCATATTTTTCCCAAAATGGGCCTTTTGCGTGGAAGTGACCATATGACATATCCTAGGCCTATGGGATTAGGGTTGTAGCGGCCGCGAGGGAAAGCGGTCACACTCAAAATGTATGGAACGCCAGTAGCGCTATACCAAAAAACATAGGTCTACACTTTGCGGTACTGTACATTGTCATTATTATTATTAATTTATTATTATTATTATTGTTATTATTATTATTAATTATCAATCATCTTCAAATGCAATGACATGTTCATTCACTAAAGAACAAACTGAACACAAGTTAGTAAAATTCGAATAAACTAAAGAAGCGATTTAAAAAGTACAATCCATTTCTGTAAGAAAATAGGCATACTATAAATCATAATATTTGATATAATAAATAAACTAACTAAATATAAGTCTCGATTTATATAGGCTATATATAAATTATGAAAGAAAATATACATGAATTTGATTAAAACAGTAAATCGAACTCTGATGCCCATTGTCCAACATACATTTTGCAAACTGCACGCTTGGCGCTCCATACAAATTGCTGCGTATCGACTCGCGGGCGCTCCGACCATACTCCGGCCTATGACAATTTGAAAAAATTTTAAAACTGTAAAATAAACAAAGTATTAAATAACAAATAATATCAAGTGCCTCCATGTTCCATTTTTTAAAAGTCTGGACAAGAAACATGGTAAATAATATATGTATTTTTTGTTATTTGGCCTAAAATAATTGCTGTTATATTTTGTCTTCAATTTACATAATTTATTTTGTAAAATTTCTTCAGACAGAGACTTCTCTGGCATTAGGTTATCTAGGCCCCAGACCTACCTAGGCCCACTGACTACACTAGGCACCTATCTAGCTATGCCCTAGCTAGTAGGCTAGCGAGTAGGGCCTAGGCTATCCCCCCCCCACCCCGTACCCTAGGCTATAGCCTAGCCTAGGCTAAGCCAGCCTACCTAACCGGCGATGATACGGAACAGAATTGATACCAACCATTTTCTTGAGCGTCTCCCTTCTTAGTAGTAGGTGCATTACCCATAATTGCACTATGGAAGACCAACTTAAATCAAGTTTAAAATACAGACTTCGAATGTAGAATATTAATGAACAATCAGAATAGTTTAGGCTCATTCGATGAACCTAAATAGAACGGCAATTTTTCTCTTCGCCTATTCACACATTCTGTGTGTGTCTATCGATTGCATTTTGGTGTCAATGAATTATCCTTCCGCAAATTGTCATTTCAAAGAAAAATGGAGTACTACGAAGTAAACAATATGCCTTGAATGTCCCTAATATATACTAAACTTGATTATCGTAATTAAGGATTCGAAATTGGAAATCAACTATCAATTTTTTTCTATAAATGAAGCGGAAAGATATTAATTTAGCGGTTTCCATGCGGAAATCGCCGGAATTACATTGGAGCACTGTGGGATGCACATCGCCTAACGCTTTTATATCGGCATTATTCATTGGTTATCGTTGACCTGAATGTATTTATAGCTCAGCGACTAAAAATAGATCAACTTTGACAAAAGCTACAAAAATATTAATACCAATGCTCGATTCCGTTACTAATGCCTAATAGTGAAATAATAAAAAAAATAATAAGGATATTATGATAACAATTGTTTAATGTATGCTTTATTGATTGATTTTAAACATAAAAACTAATTATTTCTTTGACTTCCAACGAGTAGTCGTAAGCCAGTGCAGTGAGAAAGCAGTGATTAGGGCAGTGATGAAGTTCTCCCCGACGGAGAGCGCTCTCACCCCCGGGGAAACTTCACTTCCCTCCCCTTCCCCTACTGTCGGGAGAAGACGTCCATAGGCAGAGGTGTTATAATGTATTGTACATACATGGACCAGGGACTTGTATAACTTTATTTTTAAACCTCCCTCCATGGACACGCGTGTAGAGTTTTTAAACGTTTTAAGTGCGGGAAGGTGGTTGGGGG